AGGACAGCAGGGGAGAGGCTTATTAAGATAAATAGGAGCAGAGAAAGGACTTCAGAGGCTGCGGCCATATGTTATCACACATTCTTCCTTTCTCATCCCTCCATCCTCTTTCTCTCTCATCAACAGGTCGCAGGGATGAGAGGAGGACATATTGTCCTGACAGCGTGTGCCACGCGGCTTCAATCAGACATTATTACACCATTCATATTCATTCAGTCTGACAGGGCGGAGAGACGAGAAAGAAAGAGAGAGAGAGAGAGCTGATGATGTACAGGCTAAGCCACAGCTCATTGCTTTCCAATTTGCATGCAAATGTTGAACTGAAGCTGAATGGCGGCTGGGTGAAAAACAGCACTCATCTCCTCCCAAGGGCTGGGCCCTCGCTACTCACAACAGCCAATCACAAATCAATCTACACATGACTGACAAGCCACAGACCTATCAAAGGGTCGATCTCAACCGGTAACTGGTACTGCTGGTCCTGAACAGAAGAGGTTTGATGACCTGAGTGAAAGAGAGAAGGCAGAGGAAAATAGATTTAATACTCCACACCATCAAAATACATCTTTATAGAGGTCAGTCAACAGTAGTTCACATAAGACAATAAAACATGCTCTTATGCTGTAAAAGCATTTTGGATGTAGAATTTCTTCTATTTGTTCATTTATTTATTTTTTATCAGCAGAACAGATAACCTTATTATTTTAAAATAAGTAAAAAAAAAACATATCTACATTTTCATAAGTCAAAATGGCAATAAAGGAGTTTACATGGTGAGCAAAATTGGCAAGTATGTAATATTTACATCAGATTTTCCTTAATTGCATTATAAGTATTATATAATAAGTATTATTAACCCAAATCATAATTGATCCTTATTATTTATTTTATTATATTATTACTATATTAATATTTAAACCTGATATCCATTATCATGTATTTTTTGCCGAAAACCCCAATTTCTCTTTGCATTTAAAAGCCTTTATTTGATTTGAGTGTGATCTATGATAAAAGCAATGGCACACTGTAAAATCAACTGCCTTTTATCCATAAATTAGACTATACAATATATAATACACATTGTAGGCAAGATTTTAGTCTTAACTGTCATACTGACAACTCATATCTGGCGAAATTTCAATTAGGAATGAGTAAAGTGCTCTTTACAATACAGATAAGTGGTAATGCAGCTTCACAGTGTTGTTAAATATGAAGAACAGTTCTAAAATGTAACAGTGTCAGAGCTATGTGACCTTCAGTCCAACACTAAGCAAAGAAAAGAAGACACTGGCAAAAAAACAAACTCCATAAGGTAACAAAATAGACAAAGGGGCCCTGAGAGAAAGCCTGCTCTGTCAAATCAAATAATAAACATGATGTGATATTGACTGAAGCTGTATGTCACAACAACATTAGATGGCATATATATATATATATATATATATATATATATATATATATATATATATATATATATATATATATATATATATATATATATATATATATATATATATATATATATATATATATATATATATATATATATATATACATATATATATATATATATATGTATATATATATATATATATATATAGATAT